GAATTTAGCTGGAATGGAAGGAATGGGCAGAATATATATATATATATATATATATATATATATATGTTTATATATACATGCTTACTTTTTCATTCGGTTGGATAATGCTCACCGGTTTGTCATTTGTCACCTGGCTGTTGCCAACTAGGCGTCTTCCTGGCTGTAGGCGCTCGTTCGAAAGCGCATTGAAATGCCATTTTTGCACAAGACAGCCACACCTTTCCTCCCAAAGCATTGACAGCGGGGAGCTTATGTAGCTAAAAAAATAAACCCATCGTCGTTTCCCACACTCATTGCCTGTTGCGATAATCATGTAAATCAATTTGCATTGTGTCACCAGCTTCATACTGTGTTGCGTGGGGCGATACCGTCGCGGTGACTGCCGCTGTGGTGGTTTCCTCCCTGTTGTTCAATGCAAGAAAGGACAATCCCGGCTCCCGTGCTCCGCCGGCGCCACAGCGCTTTGAATATCGTCAGCAAACGCGAGCGCCGGGCGCATTCCCGAGCGAGTCGCCATTACCGTTCAGATCTCCGCTAAATTGCTTTACGGCCGCCCCGATACGCGTCGGCGCGATGGCCGGCGGCGACTGGCCAGCGCCAGCGTCCCATTCCGGGGGTCATCGCTCGCCGCGTCTGCGTGCCCGCGCGTCGCCCGATTTACATAGTGTCCGGGCGCCCGGCGTGAAGCGGCGGCCCAGTGGTCACGGCCGGCCGCCGCCCGGCCGCCGCTCGTTAGATCGGGCGCCACCGCCGCCGCCGCCGCCGCCGCAGTTTAGCGTGCCAGCTCTTGCAGAAAGGACGGCGGAGCGCGCGGCGCGACGTTCCGGCGGCGCGCAGTGGTGCCGCCGGTCCGGCCCGCCGAATGACCTGGCCGGCCCGCGGAACGGCCGCAGGACAGGACCGCGGGCGGCCGGCGGATGCAGGGCTGGTCGGGGTTGTGCGGACCGCGGACCTGGTCCGGTCCGTGGTCCAAGGGCCAGTTGCTGTCGGGTCGGGGCTGGCTGACTGGCGAGAGCTGTCGGCAACTTCCGCTCGCTTAAAGCGTCACCGTTGGGTTAATGTGACACCTAGCGGAGTGAGTTCAGGCACGTGTTGCAGACCTCAATAGACCAGCCGAATTCAGGGCCGGCTGGTGCCACTGACTGGTCGCTGGCTTTCCTTAGTAAGACCTTGTTTGTTATTGATGGTCTGTCGCACGGGTGTGCTGTGGGGCTATTGGCTCCGAATGTAATTACAAACGAAATGGCGGAATATCCGTTATTTTTGCGTATTCGGGTGCGCTACCGCGGCTGCGGAGCGGTTTTTGCTTATTGTGTTCGAGCAGGAGAAACACGTCTTTCAATACCTCACATGGCAAACGAACACACTGGATAAGCAACCAGTCTGTTTTTCCCGAGATTACCATGGGACGTCGCCCGTGTGTGGCCGGCTGCCGGTTGCGTGGCTGCCGGTGTCGCCGCCGTTCTGGCACCGCAGTGCGGCGAGCGGCCGCCGCCAGGGTGGTCGCCGGTCGTGATCGGGCGGCGCTGGCCGACGGCGCGCCCGTGCCACCCGCCGCCGCCGCCGCCGCCTGTCGGTTAGCCGGACTGCAATCGGCCGCGCCGGTCGGCCCGGCCTCGCCCCATGCGGGTCGGGCCGCGCGTGGGCACGTGGCGCGCTGGTCAACGCGAGGGTGCTCACCTCTTCTCAGGGCAGATTGACCCGGGGTGTCGGGATGGCCTAGGCTGGACCCAAACGGGATCGGGGCGGCCGGGCTGCCTCGGCATTGATCGGCACTGATAATTTGATAGCTCTCTGATAATGTAGATCTATGTCTCTCGACATTGCCACGGATCAGTAATGAGATGTGTCCGCTTACGTCCGCCCTCTGAAAGAGTACTTGAGAAATGCGGACAGTCCTCCCAGCGACTCGGCTAATCACAGCGGCATGCCTCGAGGGTCCTTAACTGCGCGCCGGCGAGGCACGTTTACGAGGCCCGTCCGCGCTGTGCGGACCACCCTCCAGACCTGTCGCTGTCGGTCCGGACCCGGCGGTGTCGCCCGGCCCGGGCTGCGGCGTCCCGGCGGCCGCGGCGGCCGGCCGGCCGGGCCAGTATTTGTAGCGGCCGGCCGGCCGCAAAAACTGGCCCGCTGGTGCGAAAGGAAGAAGCTTGTTTGAATAATAACGCAACTTGCAGTGTGGAAGGCGGTGGCGCGGTTTTGCGGTCGCCCCGACGCTGTGTACGGGCATGCGATGGTGTCGGTCTGGGCTCGTGTCGGAGCGCTGCGGCGGCCGCGCACCGGCGGCTCATGGGCCGTGTTAGTCATGGGTGGGACAGGGGTGCAGAGCGGCGGTGGGACAGGGGTGCAGAGTGCCGGTGGGGCAGGGGTGCTGGGCGCCGTCGAGTTGGCAGCTATCAAGCCACGCCGCGCTGGGATCGGATGTCAGCCTCCTTGCTTCAGTAAACAAGCTTAGGCTCCACCATATCAAGCCAACCGCACAGCACGCGGCAACGGCCTAGAAGTGTTCAATGACGTCATGTTGTGTTAGCAGTAGTTATGGTATAAAAGTAAATTGACAAAAGTGCGGAACAAGTCGTTTTCTCGTTGGCTGCCCAGTAATTACCTGCCCTCCCGTTTCTTTTTATCTGCGTGATAATGCTAATTTGATCGGCGCGTTATCTCACAGAGCACGCCACCCATTAGATTTATTGGTTTATATATATATCCGTGAAGCGGCGGTTGCTGTAGTCTCTTCCTCGTTACCCTTTTAATGCAGAGCACTTTTTTACCAGGATGGTTCGTTATCATTTAAAAAATGTTTCAGGTTTGGCATCCTAATGGTCTGACTGGTCATTTTAGTTGGCGGTACAGTTAATTGAAGTCCCTCCAGCTATGCTAACGGCTGCCAAGTGATGGCATTCTCAATTCACTGAGCGTGTCGGCTTTTCACAGTTATTCGTGTAGCATATTTCGGGCAAAATGGTCAGAACGACCGCTTCTGCGTCCGACAAGCCGGCTGCAGCTTCTGTTCGTAAGGTTTCGGCATTGTGCGATGCGCTGGGTTGGCTCAATATAATGTCTGATTTGCGACAGTTCAGAATGCCAAACGAATAATTATTCCGTAGTTTCAGAAAATATTGTATGTGAGAGGAAACAGCTTGTCAAAAGCAATGTAGATGAGGCGTTTCACACCCAGTATATTATGATGTGGCATGGTAATCAAGGAGTGGAATATTGGGTCATCTTTCTATGCTGCATGTCGCATCTTCCCTTTTTGCATGCGGTAGCAATTGAACGCTGCGATATTTCTGCGAAGTTTGCTTCAACATGGGTCCATTTGGCGGTGAGTACGCTACAGATCTGCAGGCACCCACATCATGTCAGTACTTCAGGCCGTGGCACTGTGAGTTGACATTGGTACTGTGAAACTGTCAGCTGGCACAAATTGTCGCCTTGCTATAAAACATCTGGCTGGAAAACGTCTCCGGTTAACCTAATCTCTTTAATGCTGCTTGGGATGGGGTGTTAGAAATGAGCGCGGACTTTAATTGCGGTGTGTCTGCCAAAAAATACGGTCGCCTGGGTGTTACCAGGTCTAGTTTTGCTGTGATGGTGTCTGAGTCCCTAGAATTAGATTGTCGCCATTTCTACTTGTAACCGTGCGGTCGCGCACGGAGGCCCTGTTTCACCCGTGGCCAATCTTCCCAACACATCCTGGGCGATAATGTGAGCCGCCCCGACGTTGCCTTTTCGCTCTCGTCAATTAAATCCAACGGTTGTTTCTATTCGCTGCGCCCCGGTCGTCGTCCGGGGAGAGGCATCAGATAGGGATTCCCAGCTAATGACCGGGCTCCGCGCTCCAACCGGTTTGCGGCGTTCTGCGCGACGGCGGCTCGGCGGCGGTGGAGGAGGCGGTCCTGCCGGGCCGACACCCCTCTCGCTCTGTCTCTCTCCGGCCAGGGGCACGGGGCACGGACGCGACGCGACGCGACGCCTGCGCTCGGAAGGGGCGGGGCTCGGCAGAGGGGCGCGTGCGCGCACTACGGCCGTCCGCCGCCTGCTCGCGGCTACCTGCGAGCCACCTGCCGCACTTTACCCTTCCGTGTTTCGCCACGGCTGGGCCACGTGACCTTGATGGAGGGAGCCGATAATGAAAAATGGTGCCGTCGCGGGACGCTGGAGCGGTCTTGGGGTCCTCTCCGCTACCTGGCCGGGGCAACGGCCGACCAGTGCGATTTCCCGGGACTGCCGTATCGGGGGCGCGGCGGCGCTCTGGCCCGGAGAGCGCCGATAGTGGGCGTCCACACCCCGCCGAAAGACGACGAGCTGTGTTCCGGCACCCGCCCGGGCCGGCGTGGCAGGGGAGGATCCGCGGGCGGGGGAGTCGCGATGGCTTGCTGGCTGGCTGGGCTTGTTTTGTTCTGGGAGTCACCGTGCTGCAGATTTGAACGCTCGTGGGAAAATGTTAGCGGCGCCGGAGAGCGCTCGAGACGAGTGTGTGGAGGAAGGGCTTTATTCCGAGCCCGGCGCCTGAGGCAACGGCCGTCGGCCCGTCACGCTGCTACATCAGTGCCGGCCCAGTGATGTTCAACTGATCAATCAAGAACGTCCAAGAATCGACCGACGATGCATGGGCGTCCGCCTCCTGGCACCGACTATCGTACAGCTCATCATTGTTTACCCGTACAACACCTGCACTATGATTGTCTTCCACCTGCTCGCCTGTTTTCGATGGATTTCCGCCAAGCCCGCCACATGCGTCCCTGTCCCTGTCCCTGTCCCTGTCCCTGTCCCTGTCCCGGTCTCTGACCCTGTACGTGTCCCTGTCTCTGTCCCGGTCTCTGTCTCTCTCTCTGTCCCTGTCCCTGTCCTTGTCCCTGTCCCTCTCTCTCTCTCTCTCTCTCTCTCTCTCTGCTCCTGTCCTTGTCCCCGTCCCTGTCCCGGTATCTGTCCCTGCCGCCGCCGCCGCTGCCCGGGCCCTCCGCGGGGCGACTGCTGACCGCCGTCCGTGTCCGCAGGTCATGTCCAGCACGGGGTCGGAGGAGAACCACGGCACGCCCAGCACGCCGACCAGCGAGCCCGACATAGACAAGGTGAGCGGCAGGGAGGCGGCCACCGGCGGCCGGCCGGCCATGGTCGCACCTGTAGTCGTATGCCTGCACCAGGACTGCACCTGCCGCCGCGGGTTAGCTAGCACTGGGGTTACGGACCTGGCATAGGTGTCCGCTGGGGCTGCCGCTGTCTGCTGTAAACGGCAGGGAGGCGGCCACCGCCGGCCGGCCGGCCACGGCCGCACCTGTAGGTGTATACCTGCACCAGGACTGTACCTGCCGCCGCGGGCTAGCTGGCGCTGTGGTTACGGACCTGGTACAGGTGTCTGCTGGAAACGGCAGGGAGGCGGCCACCGCCGGCCGGCCGGCCATGGCCTCACCTGCAGGCGTATGTCTGCACCAGGACTGTACCTGCCGCCGCGGGCTAGCTGGCGCTGGGGTTACGCACCTGGTACAGGTGTCTGCTGGAAACGCGGGGGTGGTGCGTACGGGTCGCTGCCGTGGCTGCGCCCGTAGTGGACACGGGTTTGGTGCAGGTGTCTTCTGCGGCTCCGTCTGCCCCGTGTTAAACGCGGGGACTGCATAGGTGTCTGCCGTGGCTGCACCCGTCGGTGATAGACACAGGAGCAATACACGCACGTGCCGTTACCAGACATATGTCGAGTCCAGAAGCAATAATTCGAGCCCATTTACGGGTGTCTTGAGCAGCCCGAGCATGGGTCTGAGGCTCGAGTGAACGGTTGTCAGATCCGAGTCTGATTTTTCAGGCTCGGAGTCCGAACTTCGAGTCCGAGTCCTTGGAGATCGAGTCCGAGCTCGCGTTATAGGAGACCGGTTCCCAGGCCTTGTATGAAGTGTTCAATCCCGGTTCTGAGTCCACTCTCAGTGATGTAAATGTAGCCATCGCGTACTGACACCTTCCGGCATTGAAAGTGTTGCGGAACTGCAGGCGGGTATGATGACCAAAGTGTAACCATGCGGTTATGGCCTCCCTGAGGCACGATTAGGCGGCGCTGAATCTTATGCAAACCGGTTCATACTAATTCAAGTCATCCAAACCTAACCGAAGTGAACCGAAACCAAGCGAAACATACCTGACCTACCCTACCAGAATGATATTAGGTCCCAGAGAGTGAGTCCGAGCCCGAGTCCGGGTTCGTCTGGGTTGAGGCCTACCCCCGATGGCTACCTCTGTCTGACAGGCCCGGATTGACTTGGATGGTGCTGGTGACCGCGCCGATATCATGAACCGAGTCTGACGTGATGGGACTCAGCGTGTCGTGGTCATTTATCAGGCTTCATTTGAATGCGAAGGGCTTGTGTTCTCTGCTTGAATCTCAGGCATAGGGACGTAAAAAAGAAACGCAGATTTCTCCGACGTTTGAGCCGCCGGAAAGAACCGTTGATACGTGCTCGATGACCAGATGCCCGGTGGCAGTGTTAGCTTCCACTATTGTTGTCCAGCGCTGTGCCTGCTAATGTGGCATGAGACGTTTATAATGGATTATAACGTGTAATGCCACTGACGGAGTCCTGTCAAATACTGATTCAGACATGCAGGAAAACAACTTGATAGCTTGTTGACTCACTTTGGTGCCATCATTTACATGTTAGAAGGGTTTTGCTGAGTTCATTTTCGAGGCAACGTTTGCCTTTGCCGCAACTCCACCCACGACCGATGTGCGTGGATGTTGCTGTTCATCTCGTGATCATAAAGTGTACAACGCATGCGTTTGTCCAGGCATACTTTGGCACAGACAGAAGAAAGTATGGTGGAGTGGCTAAAAACTGTGTGAAGTTTTTTGTAACCCCGAAAAGCAGGTTCGCTTGTCTGGTTTACGTTGTCCTGCAATACTGCCTTGCGTACTGGAGGGCTTCCATTTAATCACTGATGTGCTGGTAAGCGGCGTGCTCAGAAGTGAGCACCGAACGCGCGTTGATTCTCATTTCAACCCCGCCACTGACACACTCGGAAGGACCGCACGCTTCCTGTCTGTCCCATCAGCGGTGCACCATTTTCACGGCAGCACGATTCATCAGGAGCTCCATTGCGAGCGGGCGCGCGCGCGCGCGCGTGTGTGCCAGTCCGTGCCGCGGCATCCGCTGCTGCGCCGGCTGCTGCGCCTCCGTTCACGAGCCTGGCAATCTCGACTGCGGCACCGTGACGGCATTTGCCAGCCGAGCCGGCCGCCTGCCGTGCGGCGGTGCGCCGCGTGCACGCGTGTACGCCTCGCTGCGCCGCCGCGCTCGGCGCGCCGCCCGGCCGGCGACCTGCCCCAACCGGCCGCCGCTGAATGCAGTGCGCTGCGGCGCTGTTTGCGCTGCGCCGCCGGCCCGCCCGCCGGCTTATTATTGAAGCCAGCGCGGCTGATTTATCTCGCGGTCGGCCGGCGCCCGGCGTGCACCGGCCCAGGACTTTCTCATCTCTCCGCCTCTCCCCCTAATTCCTGCAGAATGAATGCGTTCTTTGACTCTGCGCTAGTTGGCCCTTCCTGGTCGTAAAGAGCCGCGCAGAGTAACGACCTGTTGGGGTAATGTCCGTTTTTGCCAGCGCGGCCGGCCGGGCGCCCATGCAGATCGCGGCCGGCGGCCGGCAGCCGGCGCCGGATCGCCAGTCGGTTCACGTGCGTGGCGCCCGGTGTCGGCGGCGGCGCGTCGCGGCCGACGGAGCAGGGCGCCGGCGAGCCGCGCGCGCGCGCGCGGTAACGGGCCGCGGCGACGGCCGATCGGCGGCGTGGGAGTGTCGCCCGCCGCCGCAGGCGCTCGAGTATGACCCGCCATTATTTGCGCCTGGAGCGCCACATAGCCACGGTCACGGGCCGGGCCGGCCGCTAATTGCGCGGCGCCGACAGCGCGGCGCTTTTTGTGGCGCGGCCGCGCTAACCGGGGCGGCCCGGGCGGTCCTGGTGTCGCGCAAAAACCGGCCGGCCGCCGCCGATTCGCGACCCGCCGGCGGCCGGCGGCGGTGACAGCGGCCACCGGTCAGCCGCGCCGCGCGCGCCCGGACACCGCGCGCCGGCCGCCGACCCGGCGACGGCGGCGTCGACCGCCCGGGAAGACAGGCGTGTCGGCTGACCAAGGGGCTGGACAGATGGGGGAGCTCACGGCATACCTGTCACCAGGGGGCTTGAACACACAGGGGATGTGCGGCATACCTGTTGACGTCGGGCTGAACACACAGACGGCGCACGGCATACAAATAAGCGCATCAAAACACACAGTGCAAACAGGGCATGGCGGTCACCAGCAGCTTAAACACCTGGGAGAGATAAAAAACACACATTATAATACATGTGTCGAGAATGGTCTCGATACAGAGCAGATGCACCACGTATCAATCAGCGATGGGTTAAACAAGCTGCGAGTACACGATACGTGCGCGGCATGCCTGTCCGTAATGGTCGAAAACCAGCGGACGAACGGCATCCAATGGTGCATTGTTGAGCGGAAACAAAGCGGCGTGCCGGTTGACAGCGTAATAAACAAACGGCGAACACGCGGGGTGTCTCTTTGCAATAGGCGGGCTTCGCGGCTTACACATGACACGGTCCGAAGGAAAAAACCGCACTGCGGGCACAAGACATACTGTGAACAGCGGGACAAAACACGCAGGGAGATGTCCAGATGTCAACGGCGGCCGCAGATGGCCCTGCAAACACACGAACCATCCGTCAAAAATACACGGCACACACCAACGCAACACTGAGAGAGTGTCACGAGCATTGCAAACAAATCATGCGGAGGGCATCAGTATTGGGAAGCACGTCAGCGGTATGTATCCACGCGCGGATGCGTTGCTTGACGTTAGTCGAGTGCGAGAGCTTGCCTGCCGCCTGTTCGGGAGCCCGGGAGTCTGCTCCTGGCAGGCGTGTCACCATGCTGGTCCCTGGTACTCCGTGCCATGCTCGGAGCCGTGTCGGCGCCACTGCACAGAGGCACCGTGGTCGGCCCGATCTCCGGGGCCGTGTCGCGGCTCACTGTGTCTGATCGGTGTTCTGGCGTCAGTCCGCGCCTGGTGTCGGCGTAGTCCGCACCTGGTGTCAGCAGACGGCGCTGATGAGAGTTTAGGATTTTTGATGGGTGAGACCAGGATGTGCATGCCAGGTATCGGCGTTAAGTTGTGTGTGGGAATGAACGCGTGTGCTCGCAATTTCTGGATGGCTAGTCGGCAGCAGGACAGGTGTCATGAAGGGTGTATTGCCATCATCTTGTTATCACCATCTCCTAACTTTGGTGCTACTGCCATGTCATGCGCAGTTTTGCTTTATCGTGACTGGAATGCTCTGCATTCGAATTATGTACGTAGGTAACTCACAATTTTGCAGCTGGATGGCAAAGTTCGCAAACAAAGCTTTGCCAAAAAAGTTGTAGATCCAAATGGGCTTTGTAATTTTGCTCTTTCCATGCATCGCCGTATTTCTAACGTTTTTTTTGTGTGTGTGTGTGTTCTGGATGCAGCTGCATCCTCTGGAAACCTTAAAGCCCCCACCATGGAGTTTACATATGTTTTAATAGTTTTTCATCATTGGTCCTCATCATTCACATCGAATGAGCCGATCACTTCCACTGATCGACAATGCTGCTTCCATCATGACAGCTGGTCACCCGATGAAACCAGGAGGCATCGGTGGGGTCTGCCACAATCAGTCATCACGCGATCTTGGACGTGTTCTCAGTTATCGTCGGCACGCTGCAGCACACGACATACACGTGCTTTAAACCTCTGCTTTATGCTGCGGAAGAGCTTATTGCCGGTGGCGATCTGTTTTCCCGGCGCTGTTAATTTGGTAATGATTGCCCCAACCTCTGGTGGGGTAATTTAATGTTATCCTGCATGCAGTAATGACAGGCTGTTCAGTTCATCAGCGCCCTTGGTGCCGCGCTTTATGCGCACGTTTGTGCCCTCCGGCGGCGCTTTGGCCGCGCGATGAACCTGTCGATGACTTGGTAAGGGCCAATTGTCCGGACGAAATTTACTTGCCCATCGGACACACGTCATGGTCTATAACTGGCGTGGCCAGTTTTTTGTTTGTCCTGTCTCATACTGGCACGGTTGATTCGATGAAGGCAGCTGCACGGTGGCCGGGCGGCCTGACGCGTCCCGCAGAGAGCAGACACGGACGCGTGCCCCCAAGACACGCCGATGGACGCGGTGCCGTGACCTGCACCAAGGCGCCGTGGTGTGGGTCTGGTCTTGCACGGCTGCATGCGCCGCCGCACGGCATGTGTGCGCGGCAGTGCATGCACGCCGAGCGTGCAGCAGCGCCGGCGATGGCTGCAGTCCGCCGGCCGCTGCTCTGGCCGCTCCGCCACTACTCCAGTGGCCGGCTCCAGGTCCGGGGGAGATACGGGCAATGTTTGCTTGATCGCGCTACCGGCCCCGTGATTATGCTCGCCCTCAGGTGGCAGTGCTTCTGAGCCAGCAAGCGTGTGCCTTTCCAAGGACTGTCCTGCTCCGGCGAGTGTGTCCCTTATCCAGTGATTCCGTTCCTGCCGCGGCGGGCATGCCTCTCTCCACTGAGCCTTTCCCATGCTCCTGCTCCTGTGGTCACACCCCTTCTGCAATGGTCTTCTCCTCGGTCTAGTGCGCATGTACGCCCCTTTCCAATGATCATATTCCTGCTCCATTAGGCGCGCCCTTCTTCAATGACCCCACTTCCCTGCTCCAGCGATTCCGACCGTTTCCCAGCTCCATCGTCCCTGCGTCGCTGAGTGGCACACCGCTGCCGCCGCCGCCGCCGCCGCCCGGCCGGCGGCGGTGCGGCGGCCGGGCGGCGGCCCGCGCGGCCCGCCCCGCGGCCAGACGGCAACGAACGGGTTATGTGCGCGCCAGTGCAAGCAAACAAGCCGGCCGCGCGGCCGCGCCGCCGCCGCCGCCGCCGCCGGCCGGATGAAAGTACGCTTTATTGGCGGCCTAACCCAGTTACACGCGGAAAGGCTGGCCGCTGGCGGCTGAATTTATGCGTGCGCCCGCGCGCCGTTATGATGGCGCGCTGTGCGTGCCGCACTTTCGGAACGTGCAACGGGCGCTGGGAGGGCGTGAGCGGCACTGGCGCGGTGATCTGAATATCGGGAGGGCGTGCGCCGGCCGGGCGGAGGCGGCGAGAGGTCGGGCCGGCGTGGCGGCCGTGCCGTTAGCCGGCGCGCCGCGGCGCCCTCCCCCTAGGCCGACCGCCGTGCGACAGGTCGCGGCGCCGGTAGGGCACCAGCTCGGATCCTTCTGGGTAGATAGCTGTGTAAGGGTAGATGGATAAGTTGGATATCGGAAAGAATGCGTTTCCAAGCATTTTGTGGGTGTGCTTTTGGCCGGACATGTTTTACGCAGTCGCTTCGCCTTCGCCAAAGCTACTTTTCTTTTGATTTATGCCAGAGGTCGTAGGACAGGGAGGTTTACAGCAGTCAACTGCTGCCTATTTCTCCGATATAATATTTAGTTAGCCCTTAAGGCTCTAACCATACTATTGCTAGGGATAGTTTCGGTTTCTTCTTAGTTATGATCAGTTTGAATCTCAGATATTGTTTCCTCTTTGAGACACAAGTGGGCTTGGACAATTGGACGTGACAGTGTTGACACCGGCTAATGCATCGATTTGCTTTTCTATCAAGATGTTATTTGCTTAATTCCGCTGCCGGCAAAGTTTGTGTAAGGCTTTGGAAATATTCCGACTTGTCCTCCTCGTGAATCCGCACTCGTGAATCCTGAATGACACCTCGACCCGACCAGTACCTAACCAATGTGTGAACGGACGGTGTAAGATGGCAACCACGTCAGGCTGAAGTCGAGGAGATGGTGTTCCGGCCGATTCAAAATTCACACCAAGACACCGACTGCGGACAAGCATGACGGCGAGACGGCACGTTGGATATCGGATAGAATGCGAATGAGCGTGACACCTGACACAAGCGCAGCTTGCAGTCACCGCACCAGAACGGCCCGCCAGTGCCGGTGGGGCCGCGTGGCCAGCGCGGCTCGCGGCGCTGCCTGGGGACCGAGCTGGCTGATGACAGCGCGCGCGGCGTCCATCTGACGGCCGGCCGGCCGGCCGGGCGGGCCGGGGGCGTGGTTTCTTTTTGCGTGCGGCCGCGGCGGCCGTGTGAGAGCGGCGCCGCGCCGACGGAGCGCAACCGGCGGCAAAAACACGCCAGCGCCACCGGTCCGCGCGGCAAAACCGACGCACTGACGACGGCGGCGGCGCGCGGCAATTTCACGGCGCTGCTGCCGCGCCGCCGGCAGTGTCAACGTGCCCGGAGCGGACCGCGAGGCGACGAGCCGCGTCGCGGCTGACGGGCGGGATCAGCCTGGCGCACCGGGGCCGACGGGGCGGGGCGGCGAACACCTGCCGCCGCCGCCGCATGGGTGGTCCACGCTGCTGACCTGCTCTCCGTCCTGGGCCTACCACAGCTTGCTTGTCCGCCGTACGCTGCCGTGAAACGTGACGGTGTCACCTGTCATTTTATAGCAGAAGCTGTGGTAGTGGGAATCCGACGTATTTTGAACGGAGATTCAGCGGCACCGGGAATCGCGCATCTCAGACCTTGGCAAAAAAGGTGCCTATGTGAGATTATTATAATCGCGTCACCCACATTGCGAAGCCACAACATCGCGAAGCGCTACGGAGTTTCAGGTGCAGAAGTTGTCTTGTCATTCGCCAAACAAGGAAGTGTCTGGTCGCTGGTATGACCTCGAGTTAGCGTCATTTGACGGGATGCCACAATGCAACCAGATACGTGTTTGCCGTGTCACATCATCGGTATGTTCTGTTAAGTTCATCCGTTACCAGATTCTGCGTCGTCACGTCGACCTTCGGTTATGTGATCTGCCGGACCTCGCTTTGTAAACGGATCGGGCTTTTCAGGTGGACCTGCTAGAAGGTCACCTTATGTTAGTTTTGCAAGAACGACTTCAAGATCGTTGTCCCAAAGCTCAGTACTTCATCATAAACCACCCCGAAAACCGAAACTTTGTCTCGCTATGCCGTGTCTTCGGCCCTTAACTTAAGGATCCAAACCCGGCGGCAATGCAGATGCAACAAGAGGTACTCCATAGGACCCCAGGGCTCCATAGTACTCGCGCTCCCTGGGGTCCATATTGTGACCAAACATTTGCGGAATTAATAACAGTGTAAAGCTCCTGGCGGGAAGCACGATACCAAACATCAGGCAAGTTTGCCTAACTTTCTACACATTTCACGCAACGCATTCGGCAGGCCCAGTCTGCTTGAAAGTGTCTGTCACTGTCGCGCAAACTCTGACGATGCCCGCTTCTCGCCGCATACCATTGCGACGAGCCTGGGAGGCTCCGGCGCCCGCCCGCTCCTTCCGCTCCTGACAGGCGTCCGTCTGCCGTTTTCCAGATCAGCAACGGCTCCGTGGGCGAGATGCCGCCCCACTGGGACTCCAATTTGTGTGAGTATCGCGCGGCACATCTGCCCGCGTTATCGCCGCGAATCGCCGCCCGGCGCACGTCACCGTGCCAATGATGCCCGACTTATTATTCCAATTTCACCTTTCACTCCGGTCCGGTGCGTGTCCGTGTCCTGCCGCCCTCGGCCGCGTGTGTGTGTCTGTGTGTCTGGCCGGGTGTGTGTGTGTGTGTGTGTGTGTGTGTGTGTGTGTGTGTGTGTGTGTGTGTGTGTGTGTGTGTGTGTGTGTGTGTGTGTGTGTGTGTGTGTGTGTGTGCGCGTGCGTGCGTGCGTGCGTGCGTGCGTGCGTGCGTGTCTGTGTGTGTCTGTGTGTGTCTGTGTGCGGGGACGTATGCACGCTTACTGTCTGTATAAGCGTGCACTGTGACTCGAAAGGTATATATGAACAGACCGACTGACTGTTGCCCGCCTGTTCGTCCGTCTGCATGTGTCTGCGTGTCCGTTTTTACGCGTGTCCTCCCGTGCGTCCTTCCGTCTGCCTTTCTGCTAGCTCGCCCGCGTTTCCTCACAAGCGTACGCGGCCCGGCGAGCCGGCACCGCACAGTCGATCGGCTGCCGTGTTGGGCACCCCGGCCCGTCGCCGGCGCCGTTCGCCGGCAGATCACACTCGGCCCCCGGTCTCATGTAGGAGGCAGCCCCTGGCGACCACCCCCGCCTTCTCGAGACACTGTCAGGGGCGCTCGAGAGTGATGCGAGTCGGCGGCCGGCGCCGCGCGGGACGTCGCGGCGAAAGTTGTCCCGTCCATCCACGAAACTGTCGCCCTCTCGCGGACTCCCGTGTCATGGTGCAGTTATCCATGCATATTCATCAGTTGTTTGTCTGCGCGCAGCGCGCTCCGCTTCCCAATTCCCTTTCCCATATCCCTGTATCGTAGCATGTCATTTTCTGTGATTTGTTTGTCATTACCCAGCTGTTTGCGCGTTTTTCTGCCCGTTTTTGCCGTGCATTGAAGCGAATAGCTAGCGACCGCATTCTGAGTTATAGGCCAATGGAGAAGACGTTGGCCTAGGTCTGTTATTGCACGGCGGTTCGTTGCCTGCGCCGCTGCTGCCCTCGGGCGGCGCGGCGCAGAAGCTCCGCCCCGGCGCTCAGTGCAATCATCGCGCTGGAGGCGGCGGCGCGGCCGGCACGGAAGCGCCGAGCGCGGCGAGGGGCGCCCACCGGCCGCCGCCGCCGCCGCCGCCGCTCGCGTTGGAAGGAGTCGTTTAATCCGGCCGGCCGGCTGTCAACGTTTTTGTTTTTGGCGTCTAATGGCGGTGGCCGGGCCGCTGGGAGGCGGTGCGGGGTCCGGCGGCGGCGGCGACGCGCCCGCGCCGGTCGCCGCCGCCCAATCGATGTCGTCCGCCTGGCACGGCCAGCCGGCACGCCACTCATGACGGCCGCGTGCGTGCACGCAGCGGCTGGCCGCCGGCGCCGGGCGCCGCCGACCTGGCGTGACCGGGCGCTCGGGTGTGACGCCGCCTTCGCGCTGACCCGGCCGGCCGGTCAGCTGGGCGACGGCAGAGCCGCTCTGCCGGACTGCTCGGCTCCGGCCAGCGCCGCCGCCGGTCGCGGACGGGACGGCGGCGTGCGGTACAGCCGCCGCCTCTCGGCTGTTTATCACCGCTCGCCCCGGTCGACGACCTTTGCCAAAAGCTGATCTGCGCGGATTTTTCACTCATTGTTGTCGGCCGCATTCCGGGGCATCTCGAGCGTCCGGGCCGGATTATTTATTGATGCGGCCGCCGGGCGGGCGAGCGGCCATTCCCCGGCGATTTCACACGGGCGGCGGCGGCGGGCCAGGTCGCGTTTCGCGGGACTCGTTTGGCCGGGCAGCGATGGCCGCGGATGATTGGGACCGGCCGGGCCGCGCGCCGACCGGTTCCGGGCGTCCCGGCGCCCGAGAGTGCCGCTCGGCTCGGGCGAGAGAGAAAAAACGCCGCGCGGGTAGATGACCTTTCCCAATTTCGCATGAGAGAGGACCCTTTTTACGACCGTCAATTCGGATCTGGAATGGTTTTTTGCCTGAGTGCGCGCGTCCGGGCCGACGGCCGCGGAGTGACGTCAGGTGGGCCAGTGCGCGGGGCTGTCGGCCGTGGCCGCACCGTTCGCGCCGTCCGCGCCTGGGCCAGTCGGGTCAGCCCGCAGGTGCGGCGCGGCGCGGCCGGCGCGGCCGGCGCGGTCGGCGCTCTGACAGCTCCATGCGGCCCGGCCGGCGCCGGCGGCGCATCGCCGACGGCCCGCCGCGACGATGAGCTATGGTATTTCGCGTCCCGCCGGCGGGCGGCGCGGCCGTGCTGATGAATGTCGAATCCGCGCCGGCAACGGGTAAAAAATAATTAACGCCTCGCTGTTTAACTGCCGTAATGGGTTCAGTGTCGGTGCCTCCGCGGCGCTGGGTTTTTATTTGGCGCTCGGTTATGGGCGGCGGCACCGCCGCTGGACTATAATTTTGACACTAATTAAGCGCGCGATCGGCCGGTCGCCAGCGCTTGACCTGGCCGAAGACGACGCCGCCCACGCCCGCGCCGCCTTTCGCACGGTAATGGACCGCTCGGCGGGCGGGCGGCGCACGCTCCCGGCCGGCCTTGCCACCGCCGGCGGCGACCGCTCGCCATTTGTCCGGCGTCGCGGCCGATGCGCTAATCGTGCGAAACCGGCCGTCGGCGAGTGCCGCCGCCGATTACGCCATTAGCGGCGGAACGAGCGCTATCGCCGGGCGGCGCCGCGCCGACGACCGGCGTCAACAGGGTCGCAACCCCGACGCCGCGCCGCGGATGCCGTCTTTTTGCCGGCGCGCCGCGGCATTAGAAAGCGGTTGCGCGCGCGGTCTGCAGGTGCGGGAATAGGAGCGGCCGGCGCTCGGCTGTTTATCCCGGCCGGAACGCATTGCACGCGGCGCGGCCGGGCGGCGCGCGTGAAAGGGCGGCCGGCCGGCGCGCCGCGGTCGGCCCGCCCACCCCGGGCTGTTCAACGAGCGCAAAAACCGCGCCCGTGCGCCCCGCCGCTGCTATATGTGATCGTATATTGCGGCCGGCCACGACGCGGCATTCTTGAGCGGCGTCGGCGGCCGGAGGCTGGGCTGATCGCGCCGGCACCGGAGAGCACGATCCGGTTGTTTATGTGGCGGCGGTGACCCGAGCGCCGCGCGCCACTCCGCCCGGCGGCGGGGCGCGCTCGCTCTCGCCGCCGCCGCCGCCGGAGAGAGGCGCCGGTCATTAGAGCGGCGCGGCGGCCAGTGCCAAATATCCGCTGGCTGCCGGCGACGGCGGGGCGCCGCTGACCCGGCGCCGGGCCGGCCGAGCTGCGGCGCGGCGCCGGTCCCCCGTCGGGTCGGGCCCGGTCGGGCTCCTGGTCCGCCCGGTCGTCAGCGGGCTGGACCGGCGGCTTGGCTCAGCAGCGGGGCGGGCTGTCCCATCTGACCGGGGCTGGAGGACTGGCGATCAGCCTGACCTGGCCAGGAGGCAGTCTCTCCTGCCTGGACGCGGATCCCGGACATTCTGGGAGATGGCTATGGCCGAGTGCTGTCAGTCAGCCGGTCTTCAAGACGTGGAGGCTGGGAGACGTCAGGTATGTGGTATTATGGGACCTATTGAAAGCAGAATAATCAAATCTTGTTTAAAACATGCGATGACCGTGGTTTGAAAGTGCGGTCACCAAGCCCAGTAGGGACCGATCACCAGGTTATATTTTCCTGATACCTATTGCCGTACAGGCAAGACAAACGACTACATTTGTCGTCTCCTCGGTTGATTTGGCAGCTTGACGTATGATGACATCACAAAGCTCTGTTGAAACCCGACGTCAAGCGTCTCATGGCGACACTCCAGACCGCCACCTTGCAGACGCCCCGTGCGTGTCCTGGTCTGCCGCTGTTCTGTTGACATCGCTGGCGACTGCAGCTGTCGCGTCCATTCCGTGGACGTGATGAGAGTTTCGATTGTCGCCGGGCCGGCTGGACAGACTCGCCGGGCTCTCATCTCCCTCCTCACTGCAATAACGGGGAAAAGGCCGAGGTGCGCCCGTCGGCCGCGTGGCGCCGGCTATTCGCGTCCTGCCGCGCGGTTTGATTGGCAATATGTGCCAGCTCCGCCTAATCATTGACCGCCGGTTGCTTATACCACTAATACGGTATGATTAACCCTTGCCTGTTCATCTCTGTATCGATGTATTGGCGGCCCGATACGGCACTAATCACGCTGGAGGACGCTCGCCGCCGATCCGCCTGATTCGCCAGACTTCAACCAGCTGGCTGGACGCGTCGTATCCGCATTGACGGACTGGCCCCAACGGCCGTACTACGGCCACGCCGCCGTCAGACAAAAGCGTCCCGTTCCGCGTCTGTGACGAGATTGGTGCAGGCACACCTAGTGCGGGAAGTCATCTGCGCGCTCCCTGCACCTGAATACAACATCTTATCGAGTGTATCAGCTCAATCACAGCCTCATAGGCACGGTCAAGCCACGCCGACAAAAAGTACGCATGTTACTAAACAGCCGTCTTGCCACGTAGCTGCCAGCAAAAACCGATTGCCTGATCAGCCAGGCCGTTGGCACAACTGTTGCAATCGTACTTCTGCGGCGGTCTGCCCATTCGTTCAAAAGACCGCCCCAAGCGCGTCGGAAGTAAAAACTCTGATCCCTCCTCAATGGTCTTCACATTTCACCATTGGCGTAATGACCTGTCGAACGTCCGCTCCACCGCACAGCCCGTCTCATCTTGATCTCAGCGGAAGGGCGCGCTCGCGGCAGCCCGGCGCGCCGGCGGGCGCCTCCCGCCGCGTCCGGCGCCCGCGCCCGCGTCAGCGCGGCCGGCAGGGCGGCGGGCGCGGCCGCCGGGTCACCGGGTGCTCCGGTGTCCGGCTGACCGGACCGGCCGGAAAATGAAGTCGTCAGCGGCGGCGGGCCGACGGGTCCCCCGCCCGCCCGCCCGCCGGCCGCCCGCCACGCACCGGCCGGCGCGTGGGAACGCCGCGCGCGTTCGACGTAAAATTGAGATGCCCG